AGCCAACAAAGTTGGAAGGCAACCGGCAGTCTTGGCTTTGGCTATTTCGAGTTCAGTTCATTAAATATTAATATCTCCTATGTAATTAATTATTTTGAGTATCATTAAAGCGTGAATCGTTATAATTGATAAAAAAATTAAATATCCGTGTTTTATTTAATCAGGCGCATTTGGAAGCGCCTTGGAATTAATTTTTTTATTCGAGATCGTGTAAAATCCTTTAACTTTATTGTTATTGTTATTGTCATTGTCATTGTCATTGTCATTGTCATTGTCATTGTCATTGTCATGGTCATGGTCATTGTCATTGTCATTGTCATTGTCATTGTCATTGTCATTGTCATTGTTATTGTTATTGTTATAGTTAAAGGATTTTACACGATCGCGAATAAAAAAATTAATTCCAAGGCGCTTCCAACTGCGCCTGATTAAATAAAACACGGATATTTAATTCTTTAACAATTATAACGATTCACAATTTAATGATACTCAAAATAATTAATTCACACTTTAATGATACTCAAAATAATTAATTACATAGAAGATATTAATATTTAATGAACTGTACTCGAAATAGCCAAAGCCAAGACTGACGGTTGCCTTCCAACTTTGTTGGCTCGATGGTTCGATTGATTCCATTCGACCAACACGCGCCAGTATGCAGGTGCTGATACTGCAGAAAGAATTTCTCATCGCTTGCAATATCGAAATTGGATCGGAAGCGCGTGTTGCAATCAAAATGAAATGAGCTTAAGTTGCAGAAGCGACAGTGTCGCCAATGTCGTTAACTTTTGACAATGACAATGACAATGGCAATAACAATAACAATAAAGTTAAAGGATTTTACACGATCTCGAATAAAAAAATTAATTCCAAGGCGCTTCCAAATGCGCCTGATTAAATAAAACACGGATATTTAATTTTTTTATCAATTATAACGATTCACGCTTTAATGATACTCAAAATAATTAATTACATAGGAGATATTAATATTTAATGAACTGAACTCGAAATAGCCAAAGCCAAGACTGCCGGTTGCCTTCCAACTTTGTTGGCTCGATGGTTCTATTGATTCCGTTCGACCAACACGCGCCAATATGCAGGTGCTGATACTGCAGAAAAAATTTCTCATCGCTTGCAATATCGAAATTGGATCGGAAGCGCGTGTTGCAATCAAAATGAAATGAGCTTAAGTTGCAGAAGCGACAGTGTCGCCAATGTCGTTAACTTTATTGTTATTGTTATAGTTAAAGGATTTTACACGATCGCGAATAAAAAAATTAATTCCAAGGCGCTTCCAACTGCGCCTGATTAAATAAAACACGGATATATAATTCTGTAACAATTATAACGATTCACAATTTAATGATACTCAAAATAATTAATTCACTCTTTAATGATACTCAAAATAATTAATTACATAGAAGATATTAATATTTAATGAACTGTACTCGAAATAGCCAAAGCAAGACTGCCGGTTGCCTTCCAACTTTGTTGCCTCGATGGTTCGATTGATTCCGTTCGACCAACACGCGCCAGTATGCAGGTGCTGATACTGCAGAAAGAATTTCTCATCGCTTGCAATATCGAAATTGGATCGGAAGCGCGTGTTGCAATCAAATTGAAATGAGCTTAAGTTGCAGAAGCGACAGTGTCGCCAATGTCGTTAACTCCTCCCTCCTTAAATATCTGCGTCCCGCAGATCTGCGAATCTATAGAGGGTAGCTGGACTACGTAGCTTTGGGAGATTTAGTTTCTTCGTTGATGGTTCCTTGTTCTATAAAGGTATAATCTTTACCACTCGTGATATTATTTATCTTGGTAATTAATTCATTGATCTTCTTGATAACCTGGTTCGTCTTCTGCCCAAGCTCTTCATTAATTCTGTATTGTTCATTATTATTTATGATGATATTTTCTTGGTTCCGTAGTATATTGTTCCAGTCTGTTGAATCGGGGCTTCCAGCAAGCCATTTCCACGCTGATCCGATTGACCTAAGCGTTCTTCTTTGTACATTCATCAACTCATTAAGGCGTTCCTGCATCTGCAATATGTGGTATAAGATGAATTCCTTGTTTTTACTCGGCGGGATCTGTCGTTCAATAAGATATGAGATATTTGTTGCCGCATCCATGTATTGTTCCAAGTTGATGACATGTATTATCTTGAAGTTACCATCGACTATCCATCCATTACCAATTTTTAATGAAACCAGCGATGTTTTGTATTGGTAGATTTGTAAACCATTTATAAAACCAATCAGGTTGAATGCAATGAGGAAAATTACCCGAGATGCATGGTTATAAAGAAATATAATTTCTGAAAATAGTATAATGTAGTTATGTCAATAGGGATGAGGCGGTGATATGACAATGAAATGTGTTAATGATAATTAGTTAAATTTACTTTTTTTTTTTTTTTTTTTAGTTGCGATTATATTTTTTTGTTGCAATTATGCAGTAATATGTGAGATTTCTTTATGAGCCAGAATATGGATAGTTCCTTGGTTTACTTTGAACGCTAAATGATGATCTAATACCATGCCGCCGTCGCATCTGTAGCCCGTGATGCAACTCGCCAGACCATGGTTTAGTGCATCATCCGGAAGCTAACCGATCTGAGCTGATTTACTTATATTTTTTTGCATTGTATATACAATTTTTATATTCATATTTATTCATTCTTTCTTTTCTTTGTGTTATTTCTTTCATATTTTCTTTTTTTTAATGTACTTATTTCTTTCTCAATCTTCAATAGCAGAGTTATTATCAACTTTCTAGTAGATGAGCAATTAATGGTCTCTTAAGCCATGGACCATGTTTGCATTCTACGATCAGTATCAATCACTTCCGCCGAGATTTCTGTAGTAGTAGCATTTAGTATATTTATTCATTCTTTCTTTTCTTTGTGTTATTTCTTTCATATCTTTGTGTTATTTCTTTCATATTTTCTCTTTTTTTTAATGTGCTTTTTTCTTTCTCAATCTTCAATAGCAGAGTTATCATCAACTTTCTAGTAGATAAGCAATCAATGGTCTCTTAAGCCATGGACCATGTTTGCATTCTACAATCAGTATCAATCACTTCCGCCGAGATTTCTGTAGAAGTAGCATTTAGTTTTGGAAACTGACCTTTTTCTCGAACGTACCATGGGGACTTCGTATTGGTCCGGTTTAGTCGGGAGCAAGCATGCCTCCCCCAACCTACTAGGGTACGATTTATCCATCCCACTTACAGGAAAGCTCTTGTTAATGGTAGTTATCCTCAACTATTCATTATTGTCTTATGTTCATAATTCTCAATGGACTCGTACAATTTGTCCCATTTTATTTTTTTCCTCAATGGATTCGTACAAATTTTTTTTAATTCTCAATAGACTCGTACAATTTGTTCTATTTTACTTTGTTCCATTTTATTTTATTCATTTTAATCTTTTGTGTACTTATATGTGAGATGTATACTTTACGTGAACGAAACAAAAAGGATCAAAAATAATTATAAAGTTAGATTTTTCTTTGGACTTTTACTATTCAAATTTTTTATATGTTTTTTGTGAATCCTTCGTCCACTCCTTGTCAACACCGTTACTCTATTGTCTTTTTCAACTATTTCTTTCCTATATAGCGCTTTGTTTTTCCCTTTGATGGTTTTAATAGCTACATATATTCTATCTCCCTTTCTATATTTTTTCGGGCACTGCCTTCTTTTATTCATTTTTGCATTGCCATGTGTTTTTTAAGTAACTGCATGAGGTCCGTATTAACTTTCTTTTAAATGATGTGAAGCGGTCTTTAACCTTGAAAGAGCATCAGCCACATAGTTTGATTTACCAGGTTTATAAATCAACTCGTGGTTATATTCCTCTATACGTGCCTTCCACCTTTTTAATTTGGCATTAAAATTCCTATTCCCTAGTGCAAACGTCAAAGGCTGATGATCAGTATAGATCCTGATTTTCTTTGCCCCGTATAAGTAATTTCTGAGATTATCAAGGGCCCATACAATGGCCAGCATCTCTTTCTCATTCGTGGCATAGTTTTCCTCAGTTTTATTGAGAGACCGAGATATGTATGCTATGGGTTTATCCTTTCCCACTTCGCCTTGTGACAGAACGGCACCTAACGCGGTATTAGAGGCATCCGTTGTTAAGTTAAAAGGCTTCTCAAAGTCAGGGAAAGATAGTAGCTCTGCTGTAGTTAACATAGATTTCAGTCTATCGAAAGACTTCAAGGACTCGTTATTTAGTGTAATTGGCACCTTTTTGGATTGACTGGCTTTTACTTGGGCATATTCGCCTCTTGTAAGATTTGTAAGGGGTTTTGCGACTTTAGCATAATCTCGAATAAATCTCCTATAGTAGGAAGTCATTCCTAAAAAGCTTTTCAACTCTTTCAAGTTCGTGGGGGGTAACAAATTTTCAATGGACTTTACCTTGGCTGGATCCGGTTTGATTCCCTCAGAACCAACGATATAGCCAAGAAATTCCACCTCCGATTTCATGAAATGTGTTTTATCAAGATTCACCTTTAGATTAGCCTCGCGAAGTCTCCCAAAAATAATTTCTATATTCCTCAAGTGATTTTCTATATTTTCTCCAATTACTATTATATCGTCAATGTATACAAAACAGAGTTTTCCTATATACTCACGGAGGACATCATCTATCATCCTCTGAAATATTGCAGGCGCATTCTTAAGGCCAAAAGGCAATCTTAAGAATTCATATTTACCGTTTGCCGTTGAAAAAGCAGTCTTTGGGATGTCCCTTGATTTCATGGATATTTGATGAAAGCCTGATGTAAGGTCTATCGTTGTAAAATATTTTGATTTACCTAGACTAGCTAAAGTCGACGTAATGTCCGGAATTGGGTAGGTATCTGAAATTGTCACAGCATTTAGGCGTTTAAAGTCCACTACCATTCGGTATTGTTTTTCACCATTAGGTTTAGGTTTTTTGGGCACTATCCAAATAGGTGAATTGTAAGGACTCTTTGAAGGTCTTATAACTCCTTCCGAAAGTAATTCCTGTATCTGTCGTTCTACCTCTTCCCTCATACAGACTGGGTAAGGATAACTTTTAGTATATATTGGTTCCTCCGTAGTTGTCCTTATTTCTGCTTGAACGTTTGTCGAGGCAAGTTCGCTACCATCAAGTGGTCCAAAAAGTGGTTTGTATTTATCAATGAGGCTTTCTATTCTTTTCCTGACCTCTGGTGCATACTCTTCGCCTAATACATAATTTGATTCATTTGTTACTTTTTCTTTTAATGGAATTTTAAAACAATTTTTCAAAACTAAAACATTCTCCTTTCTATCAACTAAAGCACCTAACTCTTTAAGGGTGTCGTCTCCTATTATACCATCAAAGGTTTTAAGCGTTGGCAAAACATAAAATCAACGGGCTCACTTATCCCTAAAAATTTAAAAAATGGTCCAATTACTTTCCTATCTATGTTAATATCTCCTCCCACTGATCGAACTTTTATTGGTTTTTCTAATAGTATGCTACCATGTGATAAGTGTGGGTTGCAAAAGTTCTTGTTAGAACCCGTGTCGATCAAAAAACATAAAGTACCGCCATTAACAGAAGGGTATTCTATATAGGGTAAGCTTGATGGCCTTCCCCCCTAAAATTTACTTCGCCTACTGTTTCTTACTTCACCTTTTTTATTTGTTATTTAATTAAAAGATGATGTTTATTTTTGCTTTTTCTTTTTTCTTTTATTATTTTATTTCAATTCTTTAAATTCAATTTGTTTCGTTTACACTTTTTGTTTAGATTTAGGTTTTTTTGTTCAATTAATTTCCTTTTTTTTGTACAATGTTTTGTTTACAATTTTTTTGTTTATTTGTAGTTTTTTGTTCAATTTGTTCAATTTTTTTTTGTACAATGTTTTATTTTCAATTTTTTGTACAATGTTTTATGTTTTTTGTATTATGTTTTTTTTTTGTTAACACTTTGGTTTTTTTTTGTTTTTGGGCACTGTTCACTTCGGGGGGGAAACTTGCGTACGCGCTTTTAAATTCGAGACAGAACTGTTCTAACTCCAATTTGCATCGTCACAGCAAACCTGTTTTGGCTGGTGACGATGCTTATTTATTTGAATTCAGCATTGGAATTTACCGGTGGCTGCATATATGTGCATGTGAGTGTGTATATGTACATCATTTTTTTATGATGTTATTTATGCAGCCACCGGTAATGTAACAAACAACACTGTTGCGCAAAAATATAGCATCTTTTATGAACATTTCTGGCCCCCGAATGACAAGTGTTTACATTCATTTTTGAAATACAATGTTGTTCTTTATATTTTTGGCATATTTTTTATTGGACCGGCAAACACGTAACCCAGTTGGGTATCATAGGCCAGGACATCTCCAATTCCAGCCTCCTTGCACTCGTCTTTTCTTATGGCTGAGTAAACGTCAGCACCCAGTTCCACATCGACGGGATTGTTGCCTCGGGGATCAGGGTCGGCTAGGGCGCAATTTCTGAAACTTCTTGTAGGGTCCTCGAGGATTGGGTCCGAGTAAATGCGCCTGTGCAAATCTTCGATTATCAAGGCATTAACTCTAAGACTCCAGTGGCTGTTTGTGCGGCGGGGCGAAACCGTAAAGGTGGTAAATCGCTGCCCTTTGTAAATCCGCGATTGTAGGCCCAATCTACGGAAAGCCGCATACGATATTTTGGACATCGTCGCTGATTGGCTGATTAATGCCCTTATCATGGTGTACCCCTCTATTTTGTCAGCTTTGATGCGCACCATAGCCGTTGGCACAAATACCAAATCCCACGCAAAGTTTGGCGTTCTTACAACTTCCACGTTTAGAGATACTTCCTCCAGCTGAGACGCCCCGTGTAGCAGCGTATGATGCCGATTGTTGCACCTCCTGCAACCAGTCAACGACGGACAGTCAGGGGCCAAATGACTTCTGGCAAGGCAATTTCTGCAGTACCCCCTACGCTCCACAGTCTCATAGCGCTGGAAGGGGGTCTGGTGGCGAAACCTCTCGCAAGCACTGAGGGCATGGTCCTCCTGACACAACCCACAGGAATACTGCCAATAGCTGGGTCGTTCTTGGCGTTGGCGGGATCTTGCAGCGGAGCGGCTTCGTTGTCGTCTTTCTGGCGATGTGGAACTGGGAAGTCTGCGGTGTCTATGAGCCGGTCTGCTGGGAATGGGTTCGGTTGGGCGTCTGGGTCTGCTAGAACTTCTCGCTGTTGGACGTGCGGATTGGTTGGGACTGCGGCTGCGATCATCTAAACGGCAGTCTTGATTGGGCAAGTAGGCAGCCATATCTGAAAAAAACCAAAGGCGAGTACTATGTTCTTTTTTAAGTAGGATTCCGGCTAGTCAGTCGGAAAACAATTTGACAATTTTTGTGATAGGTCTGCTAATGTTGCCACTTGATGTCCGTATGTCTACAACCCTCGTATTCTGATCGCTACCGAGATATGTTTTTGCAATTCGACCCAACTTCCATTCATTTGGAGCCAACCTATCGTCCTTGATGACTACTAAATCTCCTTCTTTGACATTCTCCTTTTCACGCTTCCATTTAGTTCTTCTGTGAAGTTCGTGGAGATATTCTAATTTCCACCTATTGCAAAAGTATTGTGAAATAACTTTGAGTCGTTTCCAACGATTTACTAGACTAAGATCTGTGTCGGAAATGTCGGGTTCAGCAGGAGTAAGAATTGATGTTCCAATTAAGAAATGACCAGGAGTTAACGGGGAAAGGTCATTTGGATCATCGCTACCAGGACTTAAGGGTCGCGAATTTAGGCAGGCTTCAATTCTTGCTAAGATAGTTGTAAATTCTTCAAATGTGAAATTCATTTTTGGAATACTTTTTCGCAAATGCATTTTAAACGATTTAACGCCGGCCTCCCACAAACCGCCCATGTGCGGAGCGCCAGGCGGGATAAATTTCCAAGTAAGATTTTGATTGAAATTGTTTTGGATTGTGCTACTTTGAATATTCTTCATGAAAGCTAATCGATCTCGCTTTAATAGATCGACCGCTCCCACAAAATTGGTTCCGTTGTCGGAAAATATACAAGATGGACAACCTCGCCGACTTATGAATCTGGAGAAAGCGGCGAGAAAGGCATAAGTAGATAAATCGCTAGTTGGTTCTAAATGTATAGCCTTGGTGGCGAAGCAGACGAACAGGCAAACATAGCCGTTTGTGATAAAGCAAGCCCTTCCTGAATAACTTTTAATATTAAAGGGTCCTGCAAAATCTACCCCAGTGTTTGTAAAGGGTCGAGACAGAAAAGTACGTTCGGGTGGCAGCGAGGCCATTATTTGAGTTTGGGTTTGTTTCTTGTGAATTAAGCAGATTCGACATTTTCGTATAGTTTGTTTAACCAGAGATTTGAGTCCAAATATCCAGAATTCTGATCTTAGCACTCGGGTCATCAATTGATTACCACCATGTAAAGTGATCTTATGAGTGAATTCGACCAACAATTTGCTAAGGGTAGTTCCGTGTGGTAGTATTATGAGATGACGTTCGCTATATGTAAGGGCTGGAGATTGAACTAATCTGCCATTAGCTCGAATAATACCCTTTGAGTCGAGAAACGGGTTTAACGTCAATAGAGGGCTAGATGGAGAAATTGGAGACTTTTTCATTAGTGAATTATATTCATCTGCATAAACAAATTTTTGTGTACGAATTATGCAAGATCGTTTTCCATCTTGGATCTCGGCTGCGGTAAGATCCATTGATGAGGAGCGAAGATTTTGCCGATTTGCGCCAGTATTTTTCCAAAATCGCAGAGCATAGGCGTATGATCGGTAGACTTTTGCCAATGATGAGAAATTTTTTAATGGATCCTCTCTTTCTTGAAATATAGTCAGAACTTTTACAGGTTTAGCCTCTAAATTTGTGTCGTTTGGGATATCTTGCGATGGCCAACGATCTTTTGGCATTTTGAGCCATTGAGGTCCATGCCACCAGAGCTCATGAGTCGTTAGTTCAGTTGGAGAACATCCACGACTAGCAATGTCAGCTGGGTTGCTTTCAGAGTCAACATGTTTCCAGTTTTCTTGCCCAACATTATCAGATATTTCCGAGACTCTATTTCCCACAAAGGTGCTCCAATGACAAGGAGGCTTTTTTAACCAGGCCAAGACAATAGTAGAGTCTGTCCAAAAATGTGTTGAATATTTTGATATTTGTAGACTGTTTGTAATAGATTTTGCTAATTTGGAAAGTAAGACTGCCCCACATAATTCGAGCCTTGGTATTGAAAGTTTTTTGATTGGTGCTACACGAGTCTTTGCTGCTAATAAAAAGGTGTGTGTGGTATGGTCAGTTTTTTCAATCCGAACATATAGCGTGGCTCCATACGCGCTCTCCGATGCGTCACAAAATCCATGAATCTCAACAGAAGCATCTAGTGTAAACTGTATCCATCTTGGAACTCTGAGAGATTTAATATCATTGCTATTTTTGACAAAGTTTTGCCAATTTATATGGGTGATTGGTTTCAGTGTATCATCCCAATCGATTTTATCCAGCCAAATTTGTTGCATTATCAGTTTTGCTACGACCACTATTGGCGCTAGCCATCCGCATGGATCAAACAATTTGGCTATAGTTGATAAAACTTCTCGTTTTGTGTAAATGTTTTTGTTTTCCACGGTTGGAGGTGTAAAAGTGAAAAAATCACCTGATATATTCCATCGTATTCCCAACGTTTTCGTGGACGCATCTTCAGAGATATCCAACCAGTTAAGAGGCAATAAATTTTCTTGTGGAATATTATTATTGTATGATAATTTGAGGCCCATTTCATAAGTTGAAATCCAGCGGATTCGAGCGCTGCTACTAAGTCCTTCCGAGCTTTTATAGTCTCCTCAATTGTGTGTCCACCCGCAAGTACATCATCCACATAAAGATTTTGTCTTATAATTCTTGCAGCTCTTGGATACGAATCTTGAACATCATCTGCCAATTTCATAAGAGTTCTCAGTGCCAGAAACGGTGCGCAATTTACTCCAAATGTTACAGTTAGTAATTCATAGTCTTCAACTGGGTCTGTTGGCGATTTTCTAAACAGAATTCTTTGATATTTTGTTTGAGTTGAATCCAACAGTATTTGCCTATACATTTTAGTAATATCGGCGTTAAAAGCATAATTAAAAAATCTCCATTTTAGAATTTGTAGTACCAAATCTTGTTGTAAAATGGGTCCCGGAAACAATATGTCATTGAGACTTGTTTTGTTTGATGATGGGCAAGAAGCATTGAAGACGACTCTTAACTTTGTCGTGATTCGATCTGGCTTAATTACTGCATGATGTGGTAGATAATAATTGGGCATTTCGTCTCTTTCATCCGGATTGATCCTCCGCATATGACCAAGTTCTAAATATTCAAGTATTGAGGCATCATATTGTTCTTTTATCTCGGGCGTTTTCATAAGTTTTTTCTCCATTCTGTAGAATTGAGCTAAGGCGATGTTTCGGGAATTTCCTAATTCTTCGCATTTTTTGAATGGGAGAGTCACCACATATCTTCCATCCTTGTTTCGTATTGTTGTTTCAGTAAAATTTTGTTCACAAAATTGGTCTTCTTCTGACCGTAAAACTTTTTTAGGGGTCTCTTCCACCTCCCAAAATCGTGTAAGTACTTTCTCTATTGATGTTGTATTTAGAAGTGATATTTGTTTTCGTTGAAGAGTGCTTCCCGGTATGGGTCCTCCAACTATCCATCCAAATTTAGTTTTTTGAGTTAAAATTGATCCAAATGTTCTCATCGGAGTTCCAATTGTGAATATTAATGGTCCTATGTCCATTCCAAAAATTAAATCAATGGGTTGACTAACGTAAAATTTCGGGTCAGCCAGTTCTAATGCTGTTACATCTCGAAGTTGTGATTCATCTAAGTTTTGTGGTGGTAGATTTGAAGGTAAATTCTTTAAAACTGGAGCCCATACTTCCAGTTTAAAGCTAGGGTCGTATTTGGATCTCATAGTAAACAAGCAAGATTTCGTAGATGTTTCGGCAACAAATTGACTAAGGCCGGTGATATGAACTAGATTGTTCCTTGTGGGTAATTTCAAGAGGTTTTTCATCTTCTCAGAAATAAAAGTGGATTGTGATCCTGAATCTATTAGAGCTCGGGCATCGTATAGTTGTCCTTTGGTTTCAATTTGTACTATTGCTGTGAAAAGTAGAGTTCCTCCAGATTGTTGCTCACTAATTCGCTCATCTTGGAGGGTCAAAGTGGTAATAGTAGTTGGTTCTAGGTTGGTAGTGGACTGTATGTGAGTTGAAAGAGCAGCAGCACTGGTACTAGGTTGTGCTTCCACTCGAGCTAGGTATGTGTTTGTGGTTTGGGTTTCCGACCCCTTGTGTAACAAAGTATTATGTCTCATAGTACAAATACGACAACCAAAGCGACTTTTGAAATCTCTTACTCCGTGGTTTGAAGACAAGCAGTTGTAGCATAAGTGTGACGTTTTCACAGTGTGAATTCTGTCATTTACACTCTTTTTTAAAAATTCGCTGCAATCCCTGATAAAATGGTTTGATTTGCAGACTTGACATGTTTGAATATTTTGTGATTTATTTTGTTGAGGTTGTGCTAAGTTGTTTCTTCCTCCAAAATTGGTTGTATTTTTTGCGACATTTGTTTGAAATGTTTTCAAAAATCTAGGTTTATCGATGTTATTTTGCTTCTGTTGAGCAAATTTTGATGTTGAGGGTTTTATATTCCCTACTGATTCCAAGGTTTTGAATTTGTTTGTTAAGAAATCGTCAAAATGTTCCCATTTTGGTATTTGTTTACAATCGCTTAATGAGTTCTCGAATTCTTCTAGGAAGCCTCTAGGTAATTTGAGCAAATGTATATTAAAATCGGATCCCATCCTCTTCCATCGACGTCAAGCATCCCCAAAGTTTGAATACAGCTATTTACAGTGCGTTGTAGTTTTTGAATAGTGTGACTTGAGTCTGTAGAAACACCAGGTAGATTAAAAAGTGTTTTAATTTCTTCATTAATTTGCATCCTTTTGTTCTCATAACGATCCGTAAGATTTTTCCATGCTAATGCAAATCCATCATTAGTTAGTGGAACATGCGTTATAATTTCTCGTGCTTCTCCTGCTGTCTTTTGAGTCAAATGGAATAACTTTTCGACATTACTTAATTTTGAATTGTTTATGTAAATTGCCGAAAATAAATCTCTGAAAGTCGGCCATTCTCGATAACCCCCTTTAAAAGTGTCTGTGTCGCATGGCAGCAGCCGTGATATTGGCGTAAAATCCACTTCCTTTCCTTGCTGTGACATCTCTGAATCTCTTTTCATTTTCTCCTGTGCTTTTTCATCCAAAATATTTTAAATTTGTCCATTTATTGAACTCAGCGCCTGTTTATATGATCCCATGGTATCCATATAATGTTTCCTCAGTATATTTTTGTCGATGGTTTTTCCTCCTTCCTCTGGAACATAATCACGGCAGTCTAAATATGCCCTTTTGACCTGGTCCCATGCAGAATCCAACTCCATACGTGTTGTCTCCAAAGTATGAACCGTGTCATCCGGTTTGGTTATTGAAAAAATTGAAATGTAATCCTGAAGATCGTTGACGCAGTTTGCGAATTTTTCGCTTAGGGTCTTATCCATCTTGATGACTGAGTATTAACCTTTACCGAAATTTTGTTGTGTTGAAAAAAGGAAAGGCAACCCAATGAAAAGGATTGACTTGGAATAAGATTCAAACTTTTATCCAAATTTTTATTTTTAAAAAATAAGGATAAGCTATCTTCTTCAATTTGATCAACGAAATCTATGTTCAATTTTTGGTTTGGGTCGAATTATATTTCGTTTTGTTCCAAAGACTTGAAAGTTCTTGCAAAATCCCAAAAACTTTACTTTGTATGAGACGCCGAAATAATTTTGTTTAAAAATGTTTGCTGGGTTGTCCAGAGAAGTCAAACTCAATCAAGATATACCAAGGTGTCATAAAATATCTTGAAATCCACTCACAGGGATATTTTATTTTAAGAAAATCCAGAAATAATCAATATTATTCCAAAAGGAGTAAAGGTGAGGATTGTACAGGCAAAAAACGCTACAAAAACGACCAAAAGATTTTTGATTTTCCACCAACGAGGGTTTTTTCCCAGCAGTAAAATTGTAGAAAATTAAAATTTTCAATAAATATTTCCAAAAATGAAAAATATTTTCTATTGAAATGAAAATGTGTGCTGGGTTGTCGAACAAAGAATCCTCAAAAATATTACCATAAAATTGCAGGAGTATTTTTAAATTTTGACGAGACAAAAATATTGCTATGAAAATTTGTTTGAAGCAACAAATTTTCTAAAAACACTAGGTAATTAATTTAAAATCACAAGGTGCTAGTATTGGGTCAAGTTCCACAAATTTTTTTTTTCCAGAAAAATTCCAATAATTTTCAAAATTTTCCAAAAAATTTGTATATCCCAGCCAAATGTTTGTTGTGTCAAACTCCAATTAAAATTTCCACAAAAATCTAACTTTTTTCGTTCAGCGAATTCTTTCAAAATGTTTGTTTTAGCAAAAAGCAAAAAAAAAAATACCAGCAAAATATTTCTGCGAAAAAATGCAGAAATAAATTTTGGGTCCCAGAAATGTTTTTCTTGATTTAAAAATTTTAAGATATTTGTAAAATATAATAAAAATGTGTTATATTATATATGGGATCGATTTTTTTTTGTCTGTCCACAGACGCCAATCTAATTTTTTTTTTCCAAAAATCCCGAAAAAAATTCTAGGTTAAGTATTGTTTCATGTCCGTCCACTAGACGCTATTATTTGCAAAATCCGTCTGTCCACCAAACGGTTGCTATGTATTTCGCTTATGTATTTTTGTGACGCCAAAAATGTTAAAAATATGGCGATTATATATTTTTATGTGACGCTAGATTTTTTTCCAATATGGCGTTTATATATGTGTCAAGCGACGCCAATTTTCCAATAAGAATGTTTTTTCCAATATGGCGTTTATATGTGTCAAGCGACGCCAATTTTCCAATAAGAATGTTTTTTCCAATATGGCGTTTATATGTGTCAAGTGACGCCAATTTTCCAATAAGAATGTTTTTTCCAATATGGCGCTTATTTATTTTTTGAACTGCACGTTCAGCAATTTCCAATATTATATACTTATGTGTATGAAAATTCGCGCTATTTTATAAGTACTTATTGCGCCTATGTGAGTCTATATTTAGATGTCCGTCCACAAAATGGCTCCAAAAAGGGAAATTTTCTCAAAAAAGTGTCTTAGAGGCAACGCAGCAACTTTAAAAAGTGTCAACTTGAGATTTCAAAGTATGGGAATCTTCGGGTCAATGCAAATATTGAGGATTTGCCTGCTCCCGGTATGCCCTTTATGTCCAACAAGATAAATTTGATTGAGTACTCACTTTGATTTAGCCTTTGGGTCTCAAAAATTTGTTGTTGTAGTGTTGCTATTGTTGTTGTTGTTGTATTGTTGTTGTGTTGCCGGAGTCCTTCGTGGTCTTCTGGCAGCTTCCACAATTTTGCGTACTTCTTTATTTTGTTTGGTTTTTTTGTGATATTGTGTACTGTCACTTTTTTCACACCTTTTATTTTTGTATTTTGTCTTTTGTGTAGACCTTTTTTTTTTATATTAACGAAAAAATAAAAAATTTAATTAAATTTTGTTTATTTTTGTAGCACTGTGTAATTTCTTTTAGTTCTGTAGCACCGTGTAATGTCACTTTGTATCACTTTTTAATGTCACTTTTGTAGCACTGTGTATTTTCTGTTTGTTTTGTAGCACTGTGTGTTGTCTCTTTTTTGTAGTAAATTTGTAAAAATATATATTTGTTTGTTTAATGTCACTTTTTTGTAGCACAGTGTACTTTCTATTTTTTTTTCACTTTTTCTTTTGGTTGCACTTTTTTAAACGTCACTTTTTGTTAATTTATTTATTTATATTTTATTATGCACTTTTGTTTTTGTTTCAATTCACTGTGTCTGTCCACTTAATACTTTGTTTTTTGTTTTTAATATTTTAAAAACTTCACTTTATTCTCCGGCTCTGGAGGACCAAATGTTTCTTACTTCACCTTTTTTATTTGTTATTTAATTAAAAGATGATGTTTATTTTTGCTTTTTTTTTTCTTTTATTATTTTATTTCAATTCTTTAAATTCAATTTGTTTCGTTTACACTTTTTGTTTAGATTTAGGTTTTTTTGTTCAATTAATTTCCTTTTTTTTGTACAATGTTTTGTTTACAATTTTTTTGTTTATTTGTAGTTTTTTGTTCAATTTGTTCAATTTTTTTTTTGTACAATGTTTTATTTTCAATTTTTTGTACAATGTTTTATGTTTTTTGTATTATGTTTTTTTTTTTTTGTTAACACTTTGGTTTTTTTTTTTGTTTTTGGGCACTGTTCACTTCGGGGGGGAAACTTACGTACGCGCTTTCAAATTCGAGACAGAACTGTTCTAACTCCAATTTGCATCGTCACAGCAAACCTGTTTTGGCTGGTGACGATGCTTATTTATTTGAATTCAGCATTGGAATTTACCGGTGGCTGCATATATGGGCATGTGTGTGTGTATATGTACATCATTTTTTTTATGATGTTATTTATGCAGCCACCGGTAATGTAACAAACAACACTGTTGCGCAAAAATATAGCATCTTTTATGAACACCTACAGTTTCTTCCTGACAAGAGTCTCTCTCCAGCCCATTTTCAGCCATGAGGTCCTCGTCAGAAAAAGTTTCTATGTGATAAAGTTTTGCCTGTTTATGCCCTGTTCTTTCTTCATATGCGCCTCTTTTTTCAGCTGTCCTAGGATGGTTAATGTAATTTACCCGACGAGATTGTATTGTCCTATCAATATCCATTGGTTCGTGTTTTATGGCCGGATACCGTGGAGGTAACGCTGGCTTATTATAATTCGCATGTTCATTTACCCGAAAGTTAGAATTATTGTTATTATGCTCCCAATTTCTAGGCTGAGAATTTTTATTCAGCCATCCCGATCGCTTAGGGAATGATTTTGGAGGTCTTGAAACCCCAGGACGATAAGTCGTTTCTGTGGAGATTGAATCTAGGCCTTCGTCTTCGAATAAATTATGTTATTTCGCATGGCAGATTTTGTAACTCCAAACAAGCGGAATACGCTTCAGGCAACGTTCCTGGCCGCTGTATTATAACCATACGGGAAAGCTCCGGTTTTAATCCGCGTATGAATATGTCTAACGCTCTATTCCTGTATGTTCCTACTAAGGCTTTGATCGTTTCCTCACTGTGGGACTCTGTTTTTAATTTATTAATGATGAGTGAAAGTTGATGGTTGACTGTCGAATAAAACTCATCTACGCTTGAGGATCCCTGGGACAGCTGGTTGAGCTTATGTTCCAGAGTTTGAATATCCCGTTTATCAGCGTAGTGCAGGGAAAATATCCTTTTTATTTCCGTCCAATCACTGTCAAATACATTGTAGGATACAAGGGCTGTGTCGACAGCGCCCGTAACTTTTTGACGGACACTTTGTATAATTGCTCGATAAATAGGTTTGTCCCTAACTATTTCAAAGTCCTTCAGTATAGTTTCCACTGAATGAACCCAGGAAATATACTGAGTGGGATTGCCTTCAAAGGTTCTTAACTCTTTCACACTGTCAGGGAGGCGACTTATATCTTTCAACTCTGTTTCAGTCCGCGGTCGTTGAAGAGATCCTTCGTCGGTGACCAGTGGTGGTATCGCGGCCACCTGCCTATTTTCTAGACGCTCTATTCTATCCAAGACATTTCCTAAAGCATTGTTGCTCAAACTAGCTTCTATCGTCCCTATCCTGTTTTCTATCGACTTCATCTGTTCCATAAACCGATTTATGGCTCCAGTCATGGTCGTTACCGTGGCCCTAAGTTCTTCCATTTCTAATTGTTGACAAGGGGTAGAAATAAAAATATTCATGTACCTGTTATGTCCTTTATGAAGAAGGTCCTTCTTGTTTTCACTTCACTTTACTTTTTTTTATAAAAAAAAATCTTCTTTATATTTATCCTTTCTTAATTTTCAATTTATTTCTGTATTTAACTTCTCTTCTTTTTAAATAAAAAACTTCTTTATATCTCAATTTTATTATTTTTTAATTTTCAATTCTTTTTATGAAGAAGATCCTTTTTGTTTTCACTTCACTTTACTTTTTTTATAAAAAAAATCTTCTTTATATTTATTCTTTCTTAATTTTCCATTTATTTTTGTATTCAACTCTTTCTCTTTTTTTATATACTTTTATTTCTATATACTTCTTTATTTCTCAATTTTATTATTTTTTTTGAATTTTCAATTTTTTTTTTTTTTTTTTGGATTTTATCCTTCTTTAATTTTCAATTCTTTTTTGAATTTTTATATTTTGGTGAGCCTTGGCTAGGCAGCGCGACGCGACCGTTTAAAACCCTTTCACTCCTCACGGAAGGACCGTATTTCTCCGGTTTGGAGATCCACTTTTATGATCGTGGATACCTACTGAGGTACGGTTCACTTCACTTTCGCCTCGGTAACCTACGGTTATATGTTTCGGTTGGATAACTATCAGGAATACCGGATTAGCGAAGGAGGAGTTAGATTTTGTGAATTAATTTATAACTCACAGGATCACTAAGCACTTAAGTCAGGGTCCCTGCTCGGGCGCCAGTTAAAGGATTTTACACGATCGCGAATAAAAAAATTAATTCCAAGGCGCTTCCAACTGCGCCTGATTAAATAAAACACGGATATTTAACTTTTTAACAATTATAACGATTCACAATTTAATGATACTCAAAATAATTAATTCACACTTTAATGACACTAAAAATAATTAATTACATAGAAGATATTAATATTTAATGAACTGTACTCGAAATAGCCAAAGCCAAGACTGCCGGTTGCCTTCCAACTTTGTCGACTCGATGGTTCGATTGATTCCGTTCGACCAACACGCGCCAGTATTGTTATTGTAGTTAACGACATTGGCGACACTGTCGCTTCTGCAACTTAAGCTCATTTCATTTTGATTGCAACACGCGCTTCCGATCCAATTTCGATATTGCAAGCGATGAGAAATTCTTTCTGCAGTATCAGCACCTGCATACTGGCGCGTGTTGGTCGAACGGAATCAATAGAACCATTGAGCCAACAAAGTTGGAAGGCAACCGGCAGTCTTGGCTTTGGCTACTTCGAGTACAGTTCATTAAATATTAATATCTTCTATGTAATTAATTATTTTGAGTATCATTAAAGTGTGAATTAATTATTTTGAGTATCATTAAATTGTGAATCGTTATAATTGTTAAAGAATTAAATATCCGTGTTTTATTTAATCAGGCGCAGTTGGAAGCGCCTTGGAATTAATTTTTTTATTCGCGATCGTGTAAAATCCTTTAACTGGCGCCCGAGCAGGGACCCTGACTTAAGTGCTTAGTGGTCCTGTGAGTTATAAATTAATTCACAAAATCTAACTCCTCCTTCGCTAATCCGGTATTCCTATAGTTATCCAACCGAAACATATAACCGTAGGTTACCGAGGCGAAAGTGAAGTAAACCGTACCTCAGTAGGTATCCACGATCATAAAAGTGGATCTCCAAACCGGAGAAATACGGTCCTTCCGTGAGGAGTAAAAAGGGTTTTAAACGGTCGCGTCGCGCTGCCTAGCCAAGGCTCACCAAAATATAAAAATTCAAAAAAAGAATTGAAAATTAAAGAAGAATAAAATCCAAAAAAGAATTGAAAATTCAAAAAAAAAAAAAATAAAAAAAATAAAAAAATAAAATAAATTAAAATAAATTAAAATAAAATTGAGAAATAAAGAAGTTTTTTATATATAAAAAAAGAGAAAGAGTTGAATACAAAAATAAATGGAAAATTAAGAAAGAATAAATATAAAGAAGAATTTTTTTATAAAAAAAAGTAAAGTGAAGTGAAAACAAAAAGGATCTTCTTCATAAAAAGAATTAAAAATTAAAAAATAATAAAATTGAGATATAAAGAAGTTTTTTATTTAAAAAGGAGAGAAGAAGTTATATACAGAAATAAATTGAAAATTGAGAAAGGATAAATATAAAGAAGAATTTTTTTATAAAAAAAGTAAAGTGAAGTGAAAACAAGAAGGACCTTCTTCATAAAGGACATAACAGGTACGTGAATATTTTTATTTCTCCCCCTTGTCAACAATTAGAAATGGAAGAACTTAGGGCCACGGTAACGACCATGACTGGAGCCATAAATCGGTTTATGGAACAGATGAAGTCGATAGAAAACAGGATAGGGACGATAGAAGCTAGTTTGAGCAACAATGCTTTAGGAAATGTCTTGGATAGAATAGAGCGTCTAGAAAATAGGCAGGTAGCCGCGATACCACCACTGGTCACCGACGAAGGATCTCTTCAACGACCGCGGACTGAAACAGAGTTGAAAGATATAAGTCGCTTCCCCGACAGTGTGAAAGAGTTAAGAACCTTTGAAGGCAATCCCACTCAGTATATTTCCTGGGTTCATTCAGTGGAAACTATACTGAAGGACTTTGAAATAGTTAGGGACAAACCTATTTATCGAGCAATTATACAAAGTGTCCGTCTAAAAGTTACGGGCGCTGCCGACACAGCCCTTGTATCCTACAATGTATTTGACAGTGATTGGACGGAAATAAAAAGAATACTTTCCCCGCACTACGCTGATAAACGGGATATTCAAACTCTGGAACATCAGCTCAACCAGCTGTCTCAGGGATCCTCAAGCGTAGATGAGTTTTATTCGACAGTCAACCATCAACTTTCACTCATTATTAATAAATTAAAAACAGAGTCCCACAGTGAGGAAACGATCAAAGCCTTAGTAGGAACATACAGCAATAGAGCGTTAGACATATTCATACGCGGATTAAAACTGGAGCTTTCCCGTATGACTATAATACAGCGGCCAGGAACGTTGCCTGAAGCGTATTCCGCTTGTTTGGAGTTACAAAATCTGACCATGCGAAATAACATAATTTATTCGAAGACGAAGGCTTATGATTCAATCTCCACAGAAACGACTTATCGTCCTGGGCCTTCAAGACCTCCAAAATCATTCCCTAAGCGATCGGGATGGCTGAATAAAAATTCTCAGCCTAGAAATTGGGAGCATAATAACAATAATTCTAACTTTCGGGTAAATGAACATGCGAATTATAATAAGCCAGCGTTACCTCCACGGTATCCGGCCATAAAACACGAACCAATGGATATTGATAGGACAATACAATCTCGTCGGGTAAATTACATTAACCATCCTAGGACAGCTGAAAAAAGAGGCGCATATGAAGAAAGAACAGGGCATAAACAGGCAAAACTTTATCACATAGAAACTTTTTCTGACGAGGACCTCATGGCTGAAAATGGGCTGGAGAGAGACTCTTGTCAGGAAGAAACTGTAGGCGAAGTAAATTTTATGGGGGAAGGCCTTCAAGCTTACCCTATATAGAATACCCTTCTGTTAATGGCGGTACTTTATGTTTTTTGATCGACACGGGTTCTAACAAGAACTTTTGCAACCCACACTTATCACATGGTAGCATACCATTAGAAAAACCAATAAAAGTTCGATCAGTGGGAGGAGATATTAATATAGATAGGAAAGTAATTGGACCATTTTTTAAATTTTTAGGGATAAGTGAGCCCGTTGAGTTTTATGTTTTGCCAACGCTTAAGACCTTTGATGGTATAATAGGAGACGACACCCTTAAAGAGTTAGGTGCTTTAGTGGATAGAAAGGAGAATGTTTTAGTTTTGAAAAATTGTTTTAAAATTCCATTAAAAGAAAAAGTAACAAATGAATCAAATTATGTATTAGGCGAAGAGTATGCACCAGGGGTCAGGAAAAGAATAGAAAGCCTCATTGATAAATACAAACCACTTTTTGGACCACTTGATGGTAGCGAACTTGCCTCGACAAACGTTCAAGCAGAAATAAGGACAACTACGGAAGAACCAATATATACTAAAAGTTATCCGTACCCAGTCTGTATGAGG